GACTCTTGCGACCTAGATTGTTGATACCACCCGCCAAATCTTGACGGCATAGGGGGGCGTTTTGCTAGGCGCAACTCTACTAGACCCAAGGCCAGAAGCATGATCCATTAATGCTACACATGTGCACATGGGATAACCGCGTCGTCCTAGAACGAAGTAGTCTACAGACACTGCATTCACAAGACGACCACGCTGAGAAACAACAGTGCAAACCAACATCTGATCACGGCCTTTAACACAATGCGGGCACCAAGATCGATATTGACAACGAAAGCTGTTCGCATGGTCGATGATTTCCTGCTGTGTAGGTTCATCTGGGATTGAACACTTAAGAGAAACTCGTACCGCCTCAGTTTTCAGAAGGCTCCACCCACGGGGCTTCTACGATAGGGCCCGGTGGCTCTACTAAGTCCAATTCTGGGCGGTTCACGCATTCCTCACACTAATCAAGCCCAACCATGGACTGCGGGGGCGGCGCGGACCCGTGGACAAATTTTAATCAATGCCAATTCTGCCGAAGTGGCTCGAGGCAGTGCCGGTTTCATTTTCAACGTCCACGTTGCCGGACGCGTCGAGAGGTAGAAAGTTGGAACTGGCAACTTTAATTTTCACACCGTTAAAACTAAAGTTGCGAAGCAAAGCTCAATGTGCAACTACATGTATGTCAAATTCGGGGTCTTGCGTCTTCTTCGACCGCCGCTGTAAAAATCCGGGTGGCCCTCGAAAAGTACCACCGCGCGCGGCGCCGCCTGGGTCCCAAGAGATGCCATCATTGGCAGATAAGGGCTGAGCAATTAGCTTTGAACCAGGGTGCCAAGTCCGAAATCCCATTACGTACAAACCGTTCTCCCTATCGAGCGGCGTTTTCTTGCGAGTAGCAATATCGTAAACAAAACCACCTGCTTTGGAGAAAGAACAAGTCTGATCGCAAACTTCAGAAATTGAGCACAAAGGATGTTTCACGTCGGCCACGCGGGCCTGGAGAGAGTACAGTTTGCTGTTTTTTTTGTCAGCGCCTGAAACATCCCACTCCCCTCGCCAGGACTCTCTGTGCCACGCGCGCTCCTGTAGTCCAGCCTGTTGGGGGGCCCATGGTATATTTTGGCTTTGTCGTATACAGACGCAGCCTTTCTGGGAATGACTGCGCCACGGGCCCATATGCATCCATCTTGAATTCCTAAGAAATTCGTGCTCGGACGAACCAGCCGCAAACGCGCTGACGCAATTCGTCCAAGGCACGCGCCGCCGTCGCAACTCAGCGCCGCGCACCTAGCGCCAGGTCCACCCGGAATTCCTGGATGGGCCCCTCGATGAGCGCACCTGCTCCCTGTAATTCGAATATCGACGCCGCCTTGTGCACCTGGGCCTGGATCGGGGCCCTGAGTGGCACGCAACTGTATTTCGATCGCCTCGCCCAACAAAACGTAATCGAAAAAACCACGATCATTCTCAAATGTCCCCAAAACGAACGAAACCGTCAAAATTGACTTCTTTCGTGTCGGGCTCGGGTTCCTCAAAGGAAGTATTACATGACGGTGTTTGGAAGATCCACGTGTAAATCGTGAGTGGGGTGGCTCTGGTTCCTGGTGCAATCCTGTTGTTCGTGGTTTCCACTACGCGTCCAGCAACTGCCTCGGGAGTTCGGCCTGCTACTCCACAATCTGGAGGGTGCCCCTGCTGAAGCATTGCCTCTGGAATTCCACTGGTTCCAGCCAGAACTCGGCTGCGAATGTCCCATGGGGGACGTTGTCCTAGGAAGGTTCCTTGGCCTTTGCCTGGGCACTTCTCGCAGCCAAATCACCCACTCACACTTTTTTACTCATGTTTGTCATTACTCCTCTTTTCGCCGCCTGTTCCTCCGTAGCCATTCCGTCCTCCGTTTTTCTGTTTGTTCCGTATCCCGTCTTGCCCTTGTGGAAACACTTTTTTGCTAGGTTGGTTCGTACCACCGCACAAAACGCATGTACCCTTACCCCCTGATTCGGACTTGCCCCCACAAGCAGACATTTCCATCCTATCAGAACTCTGTCAAGGGTTCTTTGTGTCAAGGTTATAAACGATCGCCTGGCGCATTTGGGCATACGTTGCGTACGTGTCACCAAGCTTGCCTGGACACGTGCTGATGAGAGCTGACGCTTCGGTGTCGTCATTGAAGGGTTACGTTCCACTGCGGTTTTCGTACTCGGACACTCGTTTCTCTCACCCTGCCATCGCAGACCAAAGTTCTGACCATTGTACTCGGGAAGGGTTCGTGAGTTGTCTCAGGACGTTTCGACGGCGCCCAACTCACTGAGGGTCAACATTACATTCTTTACCAAACGGCGCCACGCTTCGGACCCCTATCCGTCTGGAGCCTTTTTGAGATTGACCAACGCTTCGCCTTCAACTAAAGACGCAAGTGTTATGTACATGTTGCTGCGCATGGTGTCTAATCTCTCTACAACAATTCCTGCCCTGTGTAAAGCGAGATCGTCCGTCGCAATGGTTTCGTCGGCCTGCATTCCCCCTCGCATGCCGTGCGAATGCCGGGGTGTATTGAAGCAGTGTAATTCAAAAACTTGCAGCTGACTGTTAGCCAGTGCGATCTTTGCTGGCCTATTTGCCGAGTGTCGGCAAGAACGCCGTCTCGCGATCCTCTTGATTGCGCGAACTGTGCACGAAGTTCGTCGTTTCGAGCTCCGTGTTCAATGTCTTTGTCTCTTGCTGTTTGCTGACTTGCATTGTCCTGATGTGTCAAAACGTTGTTTTGCTGACGGACCTCGTTCAAATCAGCAGTTCGCCTCGCAATGTTGTGCGACATGGTCTGCAATTCCTGGAGTGCTGCAGTCAGCTGTTCTGCAGCCGCCGCCATTCCTCGCTTGGGCGGGACACCGAAAATCAAAACAAATAAAACATCGAAATAAGAATGAAGACGGGTCCTAATGGATACTACGCTCCGCTACCATGACAAAATGCGATGCGATTTTGAGACTCCAAAATGCCTGCGGTCGGACGCTCCCTCCTTTGCTGCTCTGCTGCACTACCTACCGACATGCCGAAACAATATAGTCCTCGACAGGAGACAACGCGCAACAAAATGTTGCTCGGCGGGTCGCGGCTGCCGATCACCCCTCGCTCGACCACGAACGCAAAAGGAAAGAATGGAGAGGGGACGGGAAGGATTACAACGAACCAGTGAACGAATCGCATTTGCAGCCAAAGCTGAACAAACCTACTGCGCTCTCGAGGGGCAGGGGATCACCAATGGCCCCGCCCGGCATTGTGAATATTAACATGCTTCCCGACGGATGGGAAGGGGACTGTGCCGTGCTGCGCCTGGTCGTAACACTCCTACTCCTCCTATTCCTCCTCCTCGCCCCTCCCCCGCACCACCAACGCCGATCATCATCATACGCATCGTTCCTCCTCATCGTTCCTCATTCGATGTGTCCTTTTCCAACACTGTTACCCTCCCTCTTCCTCCGTCCCCTTCTCGCTCGTCCTTTTCATCCTGCACCTGTCTGTCTGCCTCACCTGTGCTGATCCTGCTCATCAATGTGGCTCAACCTTCTCCAGCTCCACCGATATCATGCTGCTCGTCTTCCTTCTGCTCATGCCCCTGATGCTCTTCTAGCTGTTCCTCCAATCCCTCTTCATATCCCTCCACTTCGTCCTGCTCCTCCTCCTCCTCCTCGTCCTTCTCCTCCTCCTCCTCCTCCCCCTCATCCCCTCCTCTCTTGATCGTGCGTTTCATCCCCGTCTCCTCTGCCGTCTAATCCATTCCCTCCCCGCTCCCTCTCCCTGAAGCTACATGTTCTGTTCTACGTATTTACACACATATATATATACACAAGAACCATCGCGCGCGCTTCGCGCGCTCCCTTGGAGGCCCTGCGCAAGCCGCGGAATCGTACAGAAGGGGAAGTGCGAAAACGCAGAAATCATTGATTTCCTGTAGGTATTCAACGCTTCGGGGCCCTGAAAGGTTTCCTGGGTTTTTTGGGGGGGTGAGGGGGTCTGAATTGTGGTCTGTTGTGCAAAAGTAGACCAGGGGCCAAACTTGAATAAAAAAAAGGAATTGTGAGATTCTCACGTTTTTCCAGTTCCTCGGCGTTGTTCGGCGCTGCTTTTTGTTTGTGCCTCGCAGGTTTTGTTAGCAGGGCCCCTCAAGGGTGTGGGATCTTCGGGACCCCCTGGGGGTTCTGGAGGCTTCCTGGAGCCCTGGAGAAGCCGTCGGAAGGTGTCTCGGGCTGCGCGGGAGCGTGTTGGGCCGTTCCTTACGTTCTGGGGGCTCCTTGGGGTCGTCTTGGGCTGTCCTTGGGCGTCTTGGGGCCCCCCAGGAAGCCGGGAGGCGCGGTACCGGCCAGATGTCAGGGGATGTGTGGGATCTCCGAGACGGAGTCCCACTTTGGAAAAAAAATAAAGAATTCTGGGAATTCTTTCTTTTTCCACGAAAATCCTTGATCTTCGAGGGTTGGAAGCGGGAAAACGTGAGAAAGCGAAACATACTAGAAAAACCATGGGGAACCAACGATTCTACCCTCTTTGGGCTCTCTCGGGACGGCTCTCGTAATTCTCTTGGGCTGTTCTTGGAGCCTCGTCGGGGTCTTTTGGGGGCCTCTCAGGGATCGGGGGTGTTGGGAGAGGGAGATGAGAATACGGAGTAAGGGCGTATCCTCCATCAGCCGCCTTCTCCCCTCCTCTCGTCTCTTCTTCTCTGCCTCCGTCCACATCTGTCTCTCTCGTCTAATCCCTTCGATGATGCATCCTCCTTCCTCCCCAGCCTCCACCATTACTTGTTATCATCATCATTTTCCCGATCATCAAATCATCCTACTCCTCCCTGCTCCGCCACCTCTTTCTCCCGGTCTCTTCCCTCCTTCATCTTCCTTATTCTCCAGCCTCTCAAAGTGACTCTCATCCGTCATATCCTTCCTGGCCGTGCTGGTCCTTCCACTCCAGTGCAGTCGCATCTGAACCGGCGTAAGCACCCAAGAGCCCTGAATCCCCCCAGGCGTCGCCAGCGCAGAGCTCTCCGTGGCGATGAGATTGGACCTGCGTTGACGCCCGCGCGCCAGCTATCCCCCTCCCTACGATGAGGAAATAGCAGAAGGTGGTTGTCACGTTTTTGCCACGTGGGTTATCCAAATTACAATGCGTCACGCATCCCGAACAAAGGAACGCGAAGCCAGAGACTTCAAGGCTCCAAGATGGCTCCGAGATAATCATGACTGCCCCATCGAGGACGTAATACTTGGGTTCGGATGGCTCAGTTTGGCCCGACGAGGTCGTAAAGAATATGACGAGACCAAATTTGAACTCTGACTTGCCCTCCAGCTGCAAACACTTCACGAAAAGAGAACCGTCAAAATTCAGGGCGGGCTGGACAAACAAAACGTCGGCAAAACCATGCTCTGGCGAACTCGACTCTTCGTTTCCCTGACCATAGATGGCCCAGAGAACTCGAAGATGGCCACGGAACATGCCACGAGGGCCCAGTGGGGGCTGGAGACGTTTCCAAGACGGCTCAAGACGACACAAAAGGACTCCAATAAAACCCAAAGAAGCCCGTAAACTCCGACAGGTGGCAATACGTAGCACCCCGCAGTTGCGGATCAGAGTGAGGGGGCGGCGGGGACGTTGGCAGTCTGCGAGGCTCTGAAGAAGCCCGCCGCGCGCGCCTAATTCACAAATTATACAACGAGCTCGCCGCAGGCGCCAAAAAATCTTTGTTACAGCAATGTGGGTGGGTCGCGGGGTTGGTCGCGGGGTGGGTCGCGCGTGGGTCGCGGGTGGGTCGCGTGCCAGGTCGCGAGTGGGTCGCGGGTAGGTCGCGCGTGGGTCGCGGGTGGGTTGCGGGCGGGTCGCGGGGTGGGTCGCGTTTGGTCGCGGGCCGGGTCGCGGGTGGGTCGCGGGCGGGTCGTGGGGGGGACGACGACAAACAACAACGACAACGACAACAACAACAACGATAACAACATCACCACCACCAACAACAACAACAACACCAAACATCAACACCAACACCAACATACTACGACACCAACAAACAATAATAACAACAATCAACATAAGCATCATCAATTATTACAACAACACCAACCATCAACAACAACATCAACAACTGCAACACCAACAACAACACCAGCAACAGCAACAACGATAACAAAAACAACAAAACCATTCCGCACCACAGACCCTCACTTCAGCCACGTGCACGGGGACAGTGAATGACCGTTCGAGCGCCTCACTCTGATACATGTAAATTTCTCTACCCCCCTTACCCCCCGCGAAGGGAACCAAAATCGCCGACCTCATAGTTAAACTCCGGCCTCAGGCTTCAATTTCTGATAGCGGTGACAGGACAATGGTCAACAGGGAACAGGGAGTGGTCAGCGTGAGTGCCAAAAACGTTGTTGCAGATCCATGTGGCTGACTATCTCGCGGGCGTGCGACCCGTACTCCGTAAGCCAGCATGGCCAGCATCATACTCTGTAAGCCAACATGCCCTGACAGCGCCTGCTCACCAGTCGAATCGGACGCTAATAAATGGTACTCCTAACTTGCTACCACAGGCGCCACCAACGATCTCAATGCCAACCACTACATGAGTGCGAGGTGGTCCATGGCTGATTCCCTGACTGATGTCCACTCCGATAATCGACTTCGTCGTCGTCCCCCTCCTCCGATCAGACGGATAGGGGTCCCTCTTGCACCCGTTCCTGGAGGAGGGCCACGAGCGTGGGTTGGCACCCCTGTGGTAATGGGGGGGCTTGCTGTGTTCGGTCGCTGGTCACTGCCTGCTGGCAGGGTGGGGTAATCGTTGTCTCCGCGTCATGTCCTTCTCCTCCTCTTCCTCCTCCCTCTCCTCGTCCCCCTTCTCCCCCACCTCCCCCTCCTTCTCCTCCTCATCCTCCCCCTCTCCATCCGACTCCTCGTCCCGCCTGCTCCGTCCACTGGCGGCGCCAAGGGGGCTCAAGAGCTGGGCTGGCCGAGCCTGTTGCGGCGCCACGCCTTCTGGTTCAGCTCGGCACCGGGGAGGGGAGGAAGCTCATACTACTCCTCTTGCTCCTGCTTCTCCTCCAGCTTAAGCACCAGCTCCTCCTCCCCTCCTCCCCCTCTTGCACAATATGAATACTACTCTCCTCTCCCCTGATGGCGTCCAGAAGATACTCGGCCCCCCATCCGCGTGCTCTTTTTTACGCACAGGACTCCCGAAATTGATTTTAGCTCGTTTCTTGTTCAAACTGGTGCTCCCGCTGAAACGCTGGCCTCATTTTCGGGCTTCCGCTCGTTCCCAACCGTGCTCCCGCTGCAGAGCTGGCCTCATTTCCACGCTTCCGCTCGTTCCGAACCGTGCTCCCGCTGCAGAGCTGGCCTCATTTCCACGCTTCCGCTCGTTCCGAACCGTGCTCCCGCTGCAGAGCTGGCCTCATTTCCGCGCTTCCGCTCGTTCCGAATCGTGCTCCCGCTGCAGCGCTGGCATCATTATTGCCATGCCACGGCATGCAATGCAATGCTATGTGGTGTTCTGCTGTGCGATGCCATGCCTTCAGCTACAATCCTAGGATATGCAGTTCTTGACGACGCGTTGCCAGGCCATACTATGCTATGCTACGCTTTGATCTGCAACGCCATGCTATGCCATGTTCGGTTCTGTGCCGCATGCCATTATTGTCGTTGCAATGCTTTGTGTCGCAATTCTTCACTATGCAAAACCACGCCATGCTATGACATACGACGCTCTGCCGTGCTCTTCTACGCCCTGCTATGCCGTTATCTACGATACATCGCGCATCCTTTCGGGATACTTGCCCTGCTCGACATCGGATTGTGCGAATGGAGAGGAGATCTACGCCACGGTAAGGGATGGGAGGAAGGGGTAAGACGTCAGATGTGACGCGAGCGCGCCAAGCTTGTCCCTCCCCCCTCCCCCCCCTTCCCTCGTCCGACCTTCCTGGTTCCTAACCGCCGCCCCCTCTTACATTGCAAATCCCCTTCATCCCTTCCTCCCGCCTCCGCGTCTTCCCCGTCCTTCCTCATTCCGCATCATCCTCCGCCCCTCGTCTCCCATTCCACATCCACATTATCATCCCATCCACTACCTCCTCCCACCCAATCATGTTCAGGAGGGGGGAAGGATCGAAGAAAGACTGCATTGGATGAGCAGGCGGAAGGCCGGGGAGAAGGAAGAACCCTGGCATCACCAGGAGAAGGGTCGGAAAAAGGAAGCGGGGGCGAGGAGAGAGAGTGTGGCCCAGGAATGAGGGTGGGCAACAAGAAGGAGACGTGCGCCGATCTTGCTCGCCCGGAGGAGCGTCTCGGTCATCGCGACCCCCCGCAGGCTCTCGAAGACACCTGCAGGGCCCCCGCCCGACCCGACCCCCCGCGGACCCAGGGGCAAGGGAGGGGAACGGGGACAGGATGCGGGCGGGGAAGAAAAGGTCAAACTGGGGAAGGAGGCGGAGGACGAGGTCTCTCCAAAACTTCCTTGCATCCTGCTGTTACTTCGCGCCATGGTCCCGTACCGAAAAACATATGATGCAATGACAAAATGCACGTGTGATGTTGTAATCAGAATCGAGTTTCTTCGCTTAGCTACTATCGTTATTTCCATCGCGAACGGCCAGCATCCCCGTTCTGATTCGACATGTGGTTCGCCATATCTGTCGCCGATCAAGCGCGGAACGAGTAGGGCAATACTACTCCACCCACACGCGAATGACAGCACGGCACCCGAGGGTCCGATAAACGCGACCCAGGGGCGAAATGCTCCCCAGAGTTTGGGCGACTGCCGATCGTCATGCGCACACTAATGTACCAATCCCCTGCCAGAAGCTGCAAAGCCAGTGCGTCGTAAACGTGCGCCGGAAAACCATATCCCAACAAACTGTGTTTTCCGCCGAACGGACAGAAACGCGGCAGGAGGAAGAGAAATAGTAGGAGTAGGAGGAGGAATGAGAGGAGGAGGACGACGACGACGACGATAACGACGAACAGAGAACAGAGAGGCCACCAAGCTGGGCACAGGAACGCGCCGAGAAATGTATCGGCGACCAAACCGAGAACAAGCAGATCTGCCGACACTGCAAATGATGCGAAGCGAAACGTGAAACAATAGGGCTGACCAGGCACGGAAGGGAAAAACAACGCGAAGGAACTCTGACACAAACTCGGAGCAGCGCACAGGCCAACCTGCCACGCTCCACTGCGAAGCGAACACAGCCACGACGCGAGACCGAGAGTTAACGATAGCTATCTCAGCAGCCAAACAACGAACGACATGCAAAGGGGAGGGGGGGAGAAAAAAACCCAAAGGGCACGATGCGCTTAAGCGCTCGGCCGCCGTCGCCGAGACCCGGCGAGCAGCCCGCCGAGAAGCTCTCGGGCGCAAGCCTCGCGCACGGCAGCCATAGAATGCCCCGCGTCAAGCTGAGATGCAACTTGCACGGCATAGATAGCACATTGTCGCTTGACGCGGCACGGGCGCGGCTCCAAACCCCATCGGCGCGCGCAAACCGAGAGAATTTGCCCGGCGCGCCCGCGCAGGCGGTGGCTCGAGAGCACGTGACTCCTCGCGCCATCGATGATACAGGCTACAATGTGCGCGATGCCGAATGTAATCGACACCGCACCCGCAGCCGAACGCACAATGAAACCGCAACTGAAAACGAACCGTTGTGAGCCAACCATTGCAAGCTGCGCGCGCGGCCGCTGCCATGACGCATGGCGGGGCACGCTGGCCGAGCAGGGCCGCGCCCTGCGGGAGAGCGGGGCGCCCGGCGGCCGGGTGCAGGGCCAGCGCTCCAGTGGTCAAGATGCCCCGAAGAGATGCGTCGACCTTGGTCGACGGACGCGCTGCCAACACAGAGTGCGCACTGGCTGGCGTGACAGCCTGCCTTGAAAGAGAGCTGGCCCACAGTCGGGGGCTCGTGCGTGAGCCCTGGGCCGCGTTGAAACCCCCCCCCGTCAGCGCGGCCCGCCGAAGCTTCCATGACAAAGGGCGCGTTGCTCGCCAGCCACGCCTCGACAGCCTGAGACTAGATCTGCCGCCCTGCTCTGGAGGAGCTGGCGACGTCGGCGCGCCATCGCGCGCGCCTGCAGCCCACCCTGCGCCGGCGCCTCGAGGTGGCACTCACGAGCCTGGGCCGCCACCGTCGCACAGCGCATGTCCATCGACTGGCGCGGAAATCCATCGCGGCGGAGCTGCGCCGTGCGATCTGGGATCGCCCACGCACGAAGGCTTGCATAGAGCTCGGCGCAGACCTTCCGCCCCACCTCGTCGAAGGGGGCAGGCAACGACCGAAGTTGCGCGGCACGCGTGACCACCGAGGCCGCGAACGCGCGGTAGGCCGCGCACGCGCGATGAAGACCTGGGCCGAACTTGCCCCGGGCGGCCGCGCGATCCTGAATCTTGCCCGTAAGGGCCGCCCGCGAGCCCCCCGTAGCACCCGGGCCCAGGACGGAGCCCCAGGTGCCCAGCCTAGTTCCGGATAGCCACTGCGCCCCATGCAGGCGCTCGCATGGAGACTGCAGCATGGAGGCCCATCCCGTCGTTGCCGAGAACGGGCACGATCACCATCTTACAGACATTGAGCTTCAAACCAGACATCCGCGCACACCCCGCGAAGATGCCGCGCAACGTCGGCAACTTCTCGAAGGCGCGGGCGACGATGGTGACCGAGCCGTCCGCGCCCTCTCCAGCGCCCCCGGGGCGAGCCGGCGAAGGCGGCGGAGGAGAGAGCCGGAGGCGACGGCGAACGGGATCGGCGGTAAAGGGCGCCCCTGGTGGACGCCTCGCGCAAGCCCGAAGCCCCGGCACCTCGAGCCTTGCAGCGCAATGTCGCAATCAGGACCCCGGCAAAAAGCCGCGGCACATCGCAGGAGCCACTCGGGCCAACTAAAGCGGCGAAGAAGCCGAAACAGAAACTCGCGCTCGATGGAACGCGGCCTCACAACCGATGCGCACACCCATCGGCCCGAAGGGCGCCCGCGCAGTGCTCGGCCATGCCCCCCCCGCGCCCGCGAGGTTTGAAGCGCGGGCACCCCGGGGCGGGGCCCCCGCGGGGAGGGGGGAATTCTCGCGGCCACCGCGCCCTCTACTACCATGCGCACTGCGTTGGCCAGAACTCCGTCGCCTGCATTTGTCACGCAAAGGGGCCTGACCTTGACCACCGCGTGGCCAATTTCAGCCAGCCCCAATCTCTCGGGCGGGCCCTTCGGGATGGAGAGTTGCGGAGCGCGGTGGAAGGCGCCCGCGCACTCGCGGAGCTGTCGCAAACCACCCCCACTGCAGATGCCGCCGAAAACCTCGTGCAGAGCGGCCAAAGATCCAATGCGCCTCCAAGCCGAGAAAGAAAGTCCGTCCGGCCCTGGCGAGTAGAGGGGCGATCTGCGGATGGCCTCTCGGACGCGCTTTCTCTGCAAGCGGAAACTGCGGGAATGGAGCGGCCCGAGCTGATCGAGCGGGCGGCGGTCATAATCCTGGTCGAGCCACTTTGCCAGCGCGTCAGCGTGGACCCCACGGCGATGAACTACTACTCCCCCCCAGTGCGCGCGCAGAGTCGCTGCCATATCCCCCGGCGTCGCCCTTGCCTCGCCGCGCTCGCCGAGGACGCAGTCCACCCCCGAGACGCGTCCTGGCTGGAGTCGAAAGATGAGCCTGGTATTAGAGGCGTCGGAGATGGCTGCTGTAGAGGCGTCGGTGCCGGCACAGTCGACGCGGGACTTGCCCGCCTCATCCAGCGCGTGGTCGCGCGCGAACTCCATGGTGCGATTCTTCATCCGCTAGAGCTCGACCGAAACGTTGCCCCCGAACGCACAGGGGTTGTCAACCAACTCACAGATCTGAATATCTTTAATTTGTCGTCCAAAATCGGCCCGTTCGGGGGACGCGCCCGACCTGGAGCTAAGAAGGTGATCGACGCAGCTGCTTGTTTTTTTTCCAGCAATCCTGTGGTGTTGGGTCCTCGTTTTGAAGAAACGGTCCCCGCGTTCTCCCCTCCTCCTCCTCTGCCCCCCCCCTCCTCCCCCTCCGCGTCAGCCACGCCCACTTCGGCACACCCCTCACACGTTTCGTGGCCCCATAAAGAGCTCCACCGAGGGCTCCAGCGGCTGCGTTCGCCTGGCTGCACCGCGCCCATTTCGGCACGCCCCTCACACGCTTCGTGGCCGCATAGGGAGCTCCACCGAGAGCCCCAGTGGCTGCGTTCGCATGGCGGCGCCGCATCCATCTCGGCACACCCCTCACACGCTTCGTGACCCCATAGGGAGCTCCACCGAAGGCCCCAGTGGCTGCGTTCGCCTGGCTGCACCGCGCCCATTTCGGCACACCCCTCACACGTTTCGTGGCCCCATAGGGAGCTCCACCGAAGGCCCCAGCGGCTGCGTTCGCATGGCGGCACCGCACTCATTTCGGCACACCCCTCACACGATTCGTGGCCCCAAAAGGAGGTCCACCGAGGGCTCCAGCGGCTGCGTTCGCATGGCGGCACCGCGCCAATTTCGGCACACCCCTCACACGCTTCGTGGCCCCATCGGGAGGGAGCTCCACCGAGGGCCCCAATGGCTGCGATCGCATGGCGGCACCGCACCCATTTCGGCAAACCTCTCACACGCTTCGTGGCCCCATAAAGGAGCTCCACCAAAAGGCCCCAGTGGCTGCGTTCGCATGGCGGCACCGCACCCATGTCGGCACACCCCTCACACGCTTCGTGGCCCCATAGGGAACCCCACCGAAGGCCCCAATGGCTGCGTTCGCATGGCGGCACCGCACTCATGTCGGCACACCCCTCACACGTTTCGTGGCCCCATAGGGAGCTCCACCGAAGGCTCCAGTGGCTGCGTTTCATGGCGGCACCGCGCCCATTTCGGCACACCCCTCACCCGTTTCGTGGCCGCATAGGGAGCCCCACCGAAGGCCCGAATGGCTGCGTTCGCATGGCGGCACCGCACCCATTTCGGCACACCCCTCACACGCTTCGTGGCCCCATAGGGAGCTCCACCGAAGGCCCCAGTGGCTGCGTTCGCATGGCGGCACCGCACCCATTTCGGCACACCCCTCACACGTTTCGTGGCCCCATAGGGAGCTCCACCGAGGGCCCCCGTGGTTGCGTTCGCATGGCGGCACCGCCCATTTCGGCACACCCTCACACGTTTCGTGGCCCCTGAGGGAGCTCCACCGAGGGCCCCGTGGCTGCGTCGCATGGTGGCACCGCACCCATTTCGGCACACCCCTCACACGTTTCGTGGCCCCATAGGAGGCTCCACCGAGGGCCCCAGTGGCTGCGTTCGCATTTCGGCACCGCACCCATTTCGGCACACCCCTCACACGTTTCGTGGCCCCAAAAGGACCTCCACCGAGGGCCCCAGTGGCTGCGATCGCGTGGCGGCACCGCACAATTTCGGCACACCCCTCACACGCTTCTTGGCCCCATGGGAGCTCCACCGAAGGCTCCAGTGGCTGCGTTCGCATGGCGGCACCGCGCCAATTTCGGGACACCCCCTCACACGTTTCTTTGACCCTTAGGGAGCTCCACCGAGGGCCCCCGTGGCTGCGTCCGCATGGCGGCACCGCGCCCATTTCGGCACACCCGTCACACGCTTCGTGGCCCCATAGGGAGCTCCACCGAGGGCCCCAGTGGCTGCGTTCGCATGGCGGCACCGCACCCATTCCAGCACACCTCTCACACGTTTCGTGGCCCCTTAGGGAGTTCCCTCTCAGTCGTTCAACCTGCTTTGCGGTACTCGTAACTGCATATGGTTGGGTCCATCGCCAAGATAACTGTTCCCCCTTAGCGGTGCTTTTACTTCGCGAAACGACTTCGGCGGCGAAACGGCGCTCGAACAACTGGACGAAGCGGAGGGCGACGCCGAGGTGGTCCTCCAATGTCGTCGCCCCTGGGGATCCCGCCTACGACCCTTCCAAGTTGAGGCCCGTCTGCCGCATGGCCGCCTTCAAGTGACCAAGCTTCTGCACGCATCAATCCTCCGGGTGGTCGCGCAGGCGCTGGCCGAACTCGAAGCGCACCCGCCGCTCGAAATTATCATGGCCGATCGCGCATGCCAGAAGGGGCCGCGAATACGTCGGGCACCGTTTTGGGGACAGCCTGAAGAACAAAACCGCGCGGTGCGCCGAAAGGTCTCCCCGCCAAGGGAGTGCGCAGCACGTCGTGACGGTCGAGCTACTCCACCGCGCGTTGCTTCGGGTAGATCCTGTCAATGCGTGACCAGGCCGGGGCAGATACATGAATGAAAGCACTTTGAAACATCTCCGCGGATTGAAACGGGAGCCCGAATATCGATTGGAAGTGCTGCTCCTTGCCCTGATCGCAGCGCAGAGAGGTCAATGCCTGCCGCCCGTCCTGCTTTGCAACGTAGTTGAAGCCCCCTCCAAGGACCGCGAAGGCCATCTTAGATGGCGATGAAGAGTTCGCGAGCCGCGTCCGGAGCCGGCGAAATTCTAGCAGCGCTCCCGTTCCTGAGGCCCGACGTCAAAAAGACCCATCTCTGTGATCTGGGCCTATGTGTGGAAATAGCGACTACCACGTCGGCAACCCCCGCTTACCCTCGGAGGGAGAGCTTGGCCGCCCGGCCCGTCCAGACGACCGACCAGACCGGCGACGCATCAAACAGCTCCAGGAAAGCATTCCGAACCACCACGCCGACGCCTGCGTGCCCAGTAGTGGGGCCAGGGGGCCACCAACTCGTGACCAATAGGACGTCCAGCTTCCTCATGAGCGGCTGGACATAAGAGCAAATTCTGGCCCCTCCTGTGGTCGCATGCCGCGAAGAGGTCCTGCGCGTTCCAGGTGCCAACCGCTACGCTCCCCTCGAGTAGGGCGAGAAATACAGAAACGACAGCAAACGTGCAGCGGGGCAGCGAGCGTAACATGCAACACTGAAAAGGCTGACATTGCAAATGCCCGCACATCATTTGCACACTCGCGCAATGCAGTGCACAGCAGAAACGAAAGAACTGAGAGGTTCAATATCAGGAAGATCAGCCCGGTAAGGAGCTGCGAACTTACTTGCTCTTGTCATTATCTCCCACCCCTGCTCCTCATCGTCCTCCCTCCTGCCCCGCGGCATCCGCATCCCCCTCTAGCCGCCCTCCAACTCCTCCTCCTCCTCCTCCTCCTCCTCCTCTTCTCCTCCTCCTTCTGATCCATTCCAACTTCAGCTCCTCCTCCTCCTCCTCCTCCTCCTCCTCCTAGTCACCCCAGCTCATATTGTTCCTCCTCTCCCTGCCCCCCCGTTCCATTCCCCCGTATCTCCCTTCTAAATTACCTCCTGCTCACACTCCCCTCTCATCCTCCTCAATACGCATCCACGAGACCCTCAGAAGCGCGCAGTTCGTTCCACGAGGCCGCCAAGAGGGCCGATACACCCGCAATACGATCTCCAGGAGGCCCTCTTGATGCCAAAAGCACTAATATCCAGTTGATTGTTCAATGTGCTTCGCATGCCGCACTCTTCGATCGAAAATCGATCCACTTGCGGCTTTTGAAGGCCGAGCGGGGTCCACTGAGAGCCCCAGGCAGGCCATAGTCGGCCCAAGATGGCCCCAATACACCACCAAGCCGGTCCAATTAGGAATCCAGTGAGCCAATACGGCCAAAGAGGACCCCAAATGGCCCCAGGATGACCCCACGACGGCCCCAAAGCACTCCCAGACTGTCAAGATAGCCCCAACACGGTATAATAGACGCCCTGAGAGGGCAACCGGACGGCCCAAGAGGGCCCAAGGTAACCTCCAGACAGCCCCACAGGAACCCCAGACAGCCCCAGCACGGCCGAAGACGAGAGGTGCCACATGCGACGGCCTTCGGGGCGATGCTCGAAGTGTCGCCCCAAAGAGTGCCTTGCTGGCGGATGTGCCCCAGGCGCCTGGATACCCAACGCTACCGCACCGAGGCCTTTGACTCCCGCCCGCCCCCCGTATAGCACGCACTGAGATACGGACGGCAGGCCGAGCAGAAGCCCGGCTCTGCGCTCACCTCACTACCAGCCCCCCCTCCCAGACTAGAGGCAGAGAAAACGGCATCAGCCAAAAAACTGTCGGAGGTCCGCGCGGACTTTGTGGATCTGCGCTGATCCTCCTCCCTGGCGGGCGGAGCGCCAGGGGCGGCGCAGGCGGCGCAGGCCGCGCTGCCAGGGGGGCACAGCGCCGATCCAAGATGTCAGCACAGATCTCCAAAAGTTGATGGTCATGCCTTCGAATATTTGATCGAGTCTTCGTCCAAGGGGGAGCAACAAAACGTGGGATGACAAAACGTGCACCTTTCGTTCACCCTCTGTGCCCACGGTGGCAGTTTGAGGGCCGTCCATGGCCCCTCTGGGGCCAAGTTCCGACAGGTCCTCGATCCCCCCTGACGTTCATGTCCCCCCGCTGCAAACCCCCCCCGACTCGACAGACACGGCCACAGACTGTGAGTCTCGATGACTTCCCTGCGCCATCGGGCGGAGTCCAGGCCGCCCGCGAAGAGGACCCGAGGCGGCCCGCTCCGCTCGGCAGCCGGCGCGCCCTTCTGCAGCCAGGCCGGCGCCGCTCGTGGTGCTTGCTGCCAGCAGCGGACGTGCGCTGCAAGAGAGGGCCGCCCGAGTCGGGGCGCGGCGGCGGGACTCGGCCACCGCACTCGGCGGGCTGACTACACCCTGTGGTCCGTGGCCGGCCCGTCTCGCCACGCTTGCCATTGCCAGGCGCGCCGCGCGAGCCAGGCGCGCCTGGTGTGCCAGATGCGCCACGCATGCCGACCGTGCTAGGTGCTCCAGCCGCGCCAGGTGGGCCACATGCGCAAGTACAGGGTTGCCAGCTCTGGTTTGGCACTCTGGACGTCGGCGTCTGTCAGAGGGTAAGCGTCCATGAGCATAGATCATCGACGTCGTCGAGGGAGTTCTCGGTCGCGGCGATGGCTTCCTGGCGTTCCTCGACGTTCTTGACTTCCTTCATTCCCCTCATACTTGGCCTCCTCTCGTCCACACTCCTCATCCTTCTTCCCCCGACTCCTCATCCTCCCCCTTCTCCTTGGACATCCCCTGTCCCCTTGGCGCCTAGCGCCTTTGCGACGTCCGTGTCGAAATGCAAGCCGGACTCGAAGCGCTGCCTCCACAAGCAGACCCGATTGGCGGGGACGGGGGAAAGAGGGAGTCGCAACAGCAATAGAAACACAAGGAGCCAGAGCAGCAGGAAGATAAGCAGAAGTAAGGAATTGTAATCAGGACGATCATGAGGATCAGGATGAGCCCGAGGAGCAAAATGATAAGGAAAAGGGTAACAGCAGAAGGAGCAGAAGAGAGGAATAGGAAGAGGAGGAAAAACGTCAGCTGCATAATGCGGGAGAAAGGAGACGGCGGAGTTATGGAAGGAGGAGTCGCGGCAGGAGCGAGCGGAACAGGAAGGGAGAAGCGGTGGAAGGAACAGCAACGGCGCGAGGGAGATGTCCGACCCGATCCGCACGGAGGCGCGGGCGCAGAGCACGGAGCCTCACCAGGCCCAGGTCCACGACGGCCGTCCTGAGCATGGCGACGGCTCCCTCGTCGGCCGACGCCGGCGGCGCCCGCGGACGCGCGGGCGCCGGCGCACCCGGCACTTCCGCGCCCGACCTCGGCGGCGCGCTCCAAGGGACCCGGGGGCGAGGGTGGGCGCCTGGAGGAGTCAGGAGGCAACTCCTCGGAGGGGCCTATATGGGGCCATCAGGTCGGATCGAGGGGCAAGTGGGCCAGGCTAGGCCCCAGATCAAGGTCAGGACTAAGCCAGGCTCATCGGAATTGAACGGGATCGTGTGTGCTGCTCTGGGCCAGTTTCCGGCCGTGGGTATACCAGCGCCGATGATGAACTGAACCTCCCAGGAATTGCGTCCCAAATTCGGGGCGGTGGCTCATGGGGGGGGAGCATCGAGCTGGAATCCGCGATACATGGCCGATAGATCAGCGGCAGACCCCGGATAGCGGCACCGCACGCTTCTGGGCGGGGCGGGCTATCAGGCCCTCATCGGCGACCAACGGGCGGTTGGGCTCGATGCATCATCCCTGAGCACATCCGACCCTAACGTTGCCCCGAACGCTTTCTGAGAAGCCCGGATACTTTTTGGAAAGGACTGGAAACCTCTGGGAAGGCCTCTCGGGCAGATGGCCGCAGGACTTCCGCGAAGCCCCCTGGCCTTCTCACGGAGAATTGCGGGTCGAGATAACGGCAACTCTCAATCGGTCCCTGGACCCCTACCGGGATCCAAACGCACCAGTTGTCCGAGATGTGCCCAGCGGTGGCGACGAGGGGGCCCCGCGAAGCCAATTACCATTGTTTCAACTCGCCCTCCTCTGGCTCGCGCCAAACCCCCTTTTGTGCGGCGCCAGTAACCGTGGGGTCACGCGGGGGCCCGCGCCTGCGGTGGCATCAGCCGCCAGGCGGGTGGGCGCCGCGGGGGCCTGCTGGCGCGCACACGGCTGCTGCCGTGCCTCCGCGCGAAGCTCCAGCCGCCTGCGCAGGCTGGCCAGGGCCCGGTCGCGGTTCTGCAGGCGCGAGGGGTCCGGCGACTGGAGAGGCTCGGCAGGCCGGACACGCTCCTGGCACTCCGCGCCGACGGGCCGCCGCTGCCGCTCGTCCCCCTGGCCCGCGGCGCGTGCCGCCTCGAGGCGCTCCAAGCTCCGCAATGCACCCGTGTCACTGAGCCCCCTGATCGCCTCGCGGAAGCTGCGTCGCCCTACTGGCGCGCAGTCACTGGCGGGGGGCCGGTATCGCCGGGGCTGCTCGAAGTACTCCTCGCGCGGCCGCTGCTCGTACTCGAACTCGAACTCGAGGTCCGCGCCACCTGTGCCGAAGCGACCGCGGTGGTGGTCCGCGCACCCGAGCCCCTCGGCGTACTCGTTGGCGCTGCTGCCGCTGCTGAACTCTCCGCCAGAGTCTTGCGGCTGGCCACCTGGGCTGCACTCGCGGCTGCTGGAGCTTCCAGAACTGGTGTCCGTAGACAGGTCCACGACCTCTGGGCACTCAGTCCGCCCCCGTCGCTGCGAGCCCGCCCCGCCGTCTCGGCGGTGCGCTGCTGCGGCTTCGGCGGCCGCGGACGCTGCGGCGGCCGCTGCGGCGGCCGCTGCGGCGGCTGCAGCCGCCGAGGCGGCCGCGGAGGCCTTGTGGTCGGCCTGCATCGTCCCAGGCGCCGACGCCGACCTCTGCCCCGCAGCCGCCGCCGTCGCGGGCGCCGCAGACGGGCCCCCTCCACGCTGGGGCGCGGACCCCTGCGGCGGCGGCTTCCTGGCGCCAGCGCCAGCCCCGAGGGGCCGGCTGGCGGGCGGCCCTGAACCCGCGCTGGCGGGCGCCCCCTCGGGCCGCGAGCCGGCGCCGCTGGCCGCGCCGGGCCCGCCCGGCGGGGCGTCCGCGAAGCAACCGGACCAGAACTGCGTGCCGCCGCACGGCGAGTCCGGGCCAAGGCGCGCGCCGCCGGCAGGCTCCGGGCCTGCGGTGGCCGCCCCGGCGCCCTGGGGCGCCCTGGGGGGGGAGCGCGCGGGCGGTGCCCCGCCGCTGGGGGGGCGCCGCGAGCGCACCGGCGACGCGGGCGCCCTGGGCTTCGCTGCCGCTGGCGCGCAGGGGCCTCCGGCGGCGCCCTTCGCCGCCGCGCCGGGGCCCGGGCCGCGCGGAGGCCGCGCCACGACGGAGCGCCTCCTCTGTAGGCTGAGAGTGCGGTAGGCCTCGTGGACGGCCACGAACCGCCTCTTCGCCTCCTGGGCCTCCTCCTCCGTGTCGCGCGGCCTCTTGTCGGCGTGCCACCTCAGCGCCTCGCGGCGGAACGCGCCCTTGATCTCGCTGAGCGGCGCGTCCCGCGAGATGCCGAGCACCTTGTGCGGAAGCGGCGCGGGTGCCGCCCGAGCCGCCATGGCGCGAGGCCCGCCGCAGAGTCTGAGAGAGGAAAGGAAGAGGGGCAAGGGAAGAGGAATGTGGAGGAGGGAAAAAGACGGAGAACGACAAAGGAGGCGAGAGAGGAGAGTATGAAACAAAGGGAAAGAGTGAAACAAAGGGAACAAGTAAAAATACATCGACAAGTAACAAAGGCACACAGAGAGGCAGAAGGGACACATAGAGCAACGACACAGAGGGAGAGAGAGAGAGAGAGAGAGCCAGAGAGAATAGAAGATAAAAACATACTATAGAGATGACGATACGTATTTATGTATCGAGATCGAGGAAAAGACGGAACAAGAGCGATGAACAGGGGAGATGAGTAGCAGACGTTATACTGTTTGCTCCTTCACTTCCCTGATCAAGGCAGCTCGCATGAGCGTCGTTTCTGGATGGGCTGGCGGCTGGCGGGGAAACGAGACACGCAAACTTGGGGTCGCCAACGCCAATGCTCTCTGCAAGCAAAATGCATTCCTTGGTCTTTGTATGCGGCCGCGCAGGCGGCTGCCCCGCCACGCCCGCCCGTCGATTCGGTGCCCGAGGGATTGGCGCCTCCGCTTTGGAGAAATGGGTGTGCGTGCGAGTGTCTATTCCTATTCCCGAATAGCGTTTCGCTAAAGAGGGCTCTGATAGAGGTAAGAGGGCCAGGGAGGCCAGCAGCTGCTTCGCATGAGGATCAGTGTTAATTCGCTCAAGAATCGCGTGTTCGAATCAATGCGGGGTACATATCTGATCTGGGCGACGACGATCCCTTCCAGACCATACGATAAACTGTTATTTGCCACGCACTTTCTTTCGAGATCGGGCTCTCGCCTGAATGCCCGCTACATGTTTTGATCGTCCGGACAAGCACGGCCCAGTGAGAAAAAATACACCATGGTGCGCAGCCAGCTACATTGTTGATCCGGGACCCCTCATGAAACACACACACACACACACCGTCACACACACACACACTATATATATATATATATATTGCACATTATGGCCGTGCTCTCCCCCCTGTCCCTGCATGTTTTCTGGACCCACCTCTTCACCGTTGCTGCTACCAAGGTGCTTTGCTGGGGTAATCCTTTTGCCTCGCCCTGGCTCTGGCCCCACGCACGGCCGCGGCATCTGCTCCTCACGGGTCATCGCCGCCTGCACGACTCTCGCCTTCTCCCCTCTGCCTTTGGCTCGTCCTGCTCCGAATTGGGTAGCTGCGCCCGCGCTTCTTCGATCAATGGTGCACGTTGCATGCCAGCAACATAGCCGGTTTCCTTCCACTGGGGCAGGAAATCGTGTGTCGGACCTCGCGCTGTTCGTGTTGAATTCTCTTTGTGCGGAGCAGTGGTTGCTGAGACCCCTCCCGACGCATCGAGCCCAAGATGCTTGTATTGAACCAAGTCCATGCGTACTTGCTTAGATCCTGGGCGTCGCGCAGTGACTGGGAATGAAGACAGCGGCGCATCACGCAATGCTGTCTGCTCCCAACCTTCGTCTTTGCTTCTCTCCCTCGCCCTCCTTCCTCCCTGCACTCTCCTCCTCCTCCTCCTCCTGCTCCTACTGCCTTCCAGCCCCTGTCCTTCCCGACTCGCCCTCCCTCCCTGGCCCTCCCCTCCGCTCTCCCTCCCCCCCTCCCTCCATCCCACCTCTCCCTCCTTGCACCCTTGCCCGTCCCCTTCTACCCCCCACTGCCTCCAGCACCCTTTGCCATGAATCAAACGGGTCCTGTGGGAAACGGGTCCTGGTCTCCGAGGCTACCCCCTGGGATCAGCGTTTCGTCCCAAGTCGAATTCGGGCGAAAACAACAATGATAACGGATCCGTGGACCTGGCGCGTGCGCGACAGACCCACGGGTCGGGGGAAGTACCCCCCCCGGAACATCCGGTCAATACCGCCTGAATTGGCGACGGAGAGCGCCGATTTCGGATGGAAGTGAGACCCGTCGCTCGTCCACGCGCACTGATCCATGCTTGCGCTTCCTCGATCATCGGCACCGCGCCGGCGACGCTCCCCCTGCTGCCTACGCCGCACGTATCGGCGATGAGTGGGCGATGGGGGGTCGATGGTCGATGCATCGTGATCCTCGTCGTCTGACTTTCGGGGCATATCTGGGTTTTCTGGCGGCCTTTCTGAACAATTCGGGCAGCCCTGGACACCCCTTGGCGAAGCGTAGCCGCTGCAAAGCACCCCGACGCTGCTCCTTGGACCGCTGCCAAGACGCGTTCTGACCAGAATTTTCAGGCGAGCGGGACCCCCAGGAGATTCAACAGAAAACGAGAACGAGGGAATGGCAGCGGCATCGGTACCCTTCCCTTCTCGGACGGGTAGCAGCATCGGTACTGTGATTCTCTGATCTGCGCCCTTCGCACAGCGTTGCCCCACCGCCCCCCTCACACCGCGCTGGGCGGCCCCCACCTCCGATTTTTGCCCGCGGCCGCGCCGGCGCCCGCCCTCCAGCACACGCCGCTCGCGCCAGACGGCGCCCCTACAGGACCGCGGTGCCGGCGCCAAGGGGGGCGGGCGAGCGGGGGGGGCACGAAAGAGGGAGGGAGGAAAGAGAAGTGGGGGGGATTTGTGCTGGATTGTGCTACCCAGCACTCACGCAAATGGAAAATACAACGCAACACGCTCTTCGCCGTGCAAGTGTGAACTTACAAGGGCTTCCCCGTTGACGGATGGCGGCCCTCCCACAAATTCGTCAGTCGACCCTTGGCCGTCCGAGCTCGGGCGGGCTTGCATCCCTCCTTCACAAGGTTCGCCCATTTACACTGAACGTAGGAAACGCAACGCCAACAGAATACAAAAGTGGGGCGACACACGAGGTGATGTCCCAACCCCTGTGCCTTGAGAGTGAGGGCTTCTCGGGCATAAAATTCGACAGTTTCTGCGCCCGACATCCCGCTTCGAGCCTGGATCGTGGCAGAGGAAGATCGACGGTCCCTGGGGCTCACAATCGGAGGAGGGGAAGGAGGCATCAGAGGAGCAGGGTTCGACTCGACGGTTCGGGGCGAGTTCAATGGCGCTATTCATTTCGACGTCGGTACTCGCGTCGGACGACATCAGACGACATTGCGCCCAGCCAGACGGCAAATTTTCGGGCATCAGATACCATGGTATACTTCTGCTTCTAAGCCTGACACTGCCAGAAAACATGCTTGCACCACTTTGCTCCCTTCTTCGCGCATTCGTCCGCGTAAAGGTTGTCTTTTGAACAGCCTCTCGCCAATCTGGCGCCGCTGGGCGCGAGTGGCGTGGGCTTCACTGTTTTACAAATATGGATTGTCCATGGGCGCAACCCTCCAACATCGTTAACCAAAAACCCAAACTCTCGCCAGAGATCGCTGTGGGCCCAGGCTGGGGACGAGCACCACTCCTCCCCACTGGCAGCTCCGTCTACAACAGCCTGGCAATCACAACGGATGATGGGGGTGCATCGCACTCCTCACCACCTGAAGGATGGCATGGGAACTTCGCCGGGCAAAGCCCGTGCCGAGTCCGGGGCAGGGGGAGGGGGCCGAAAGCAGAAACCTCAAGATTCGCCCCCGAGGCATCCAAGGTGAAATAGCTCCAACCTGCAGGCCCCAGGGATCCATCCGTGAAGACCTCACTGGTGATGACCCCTGGATGTCCGCCCTCATGCCGAACCTCGTGCGAGACTGGCAGAACATCGACGAGTTCGATGGGATTCTCCGAGACACCTCGGGCCCAGAGGAATTTTCGAAGCCCGGGAGCGGCCTCGCCCCCCTCTGCTGCGCGTGCCTGCCACCTACACGCCTACGCTGCTCCTCGCGCGCTGCATACATGCGTACGGTGAAAGTCTGTACCTACAACACTGATCGGCAGTCGCTCGACCAGCCCGAAATCCGCCGGACCCCTGATGGGGCCACCAGGCTGTAGGGCGAAACTGCTGCTCCATGCGCCAGTTGCGGTGTCAAGTCTCCAATGCTACAGTCCTGCTGTCTGCTTCCTATTGTAAATTGTGGAGGTCCGCGCCAGGGGGGGGAGCCCCAAACCAGCAATTCACCACGCCCAGATCGCATTGCCTGAATTCCCGTGGGAGGCGTGGGACACGCAAAAATACCAAGATTCGCGCCCCCGAGGCCAGAATCCCATTGTTCATTACGCAATAGTCGCGTCCCCGAGGCCATCAACTCTCTGTAATTACTCAATTGGTGCGCCCCCAAGGCAACCAAACCCGTATTACGTACCCTATATTGGCGTCCCCGAGGCCATAAACCGTTGCAAATTACACCGTATTCGCATTGCCGAGGCAACGAGTGCTCCGAGACGCCCGAAGATGGTTCCAAGACGGCCCAAGAGGACCCCAAGAGGGCCCAAGAGCGCTCCAAGAAGCCTCACGAGAGAGCCCCAAGAGGCCCAAATCGCCGATTTCACGAGAAGGTATTTGAAGGCTGTTGGCCTTCTTGCATTTTCAGTTTTCCGGCGCTCCATGTCG